AAAAACAACATAGACTGCAAATGACATTACAAATGTATCACTAGTGTGTATATTAAGAACTATACGATTCAAAAGATACATGTCTTAAAGAAGAATTGAACTACTATCACTTATCATACAAAACATTGTAACGAGTAGATCAATTAACTACATGGTTCGTTAAGTTAGTTATGAATAGCTTATTGCCAATAAGACGCTAAATACACTGGTTTACAACATAAAATATGTAGTACAGAATTTAGACAACATGCATTGGTTCACTTATGTTGTATATAAGTTAGTTCAGAATGTATGTTCAAGTTCTACCTTTGAACTTTAGCATATTCAATGTCATAGAGGAATATTTTTATCATATCAAATGTTAAACCTTTTAGGCTGAACCTTCATTTCTTGGTGGGTTAAGAAGGAATGGATCAAGTTGTTGCTCTTCTTGGATACGGTGAACTTTCAATTTATTGTCTTTTACGAGAATATGCCGCATTCGTTGACGATTCGCTAAGCGTTAATGTCTGTTTAATCATCACGATATCAGCTTGCAGAGCAGCGATGGTTGCCTTTAAATGGTTGAATTCTGCTCGGCATTGGCTGTGGTCATTACATCCTGGAATTGATGGGAGAGTTCGTATGGATTTACGGCGTTGTGAGCGTCGAGTTACACTTATTATATCCTTAAGCAGTGAAAAGTCCTCACCCTCCATCACATTAAGAAGTATTTTAATATCGCAAGCCAGTTTCACATTTACTGGGTCTCCACTTCGTGTCGTTACACGCTTTTTTAATTCATTTTCACGGTCATATGGGAAGCCGTCAAATTCTTTCACAATATCGAAGAGCATTCTTCGGAGTTTATCAAGGTTAGGTTCAGAGTTGGTATATTCGATTAACAGCCGGTCAATAAATAAATCGCCTGGAAAGTCCCTAAGCATTTTCTGTAAAGTATTTAGTTCAATCAGATCATCAGCAGTTTCGTAGTCTTCAAACAGCGAGTCAGCTATGTAAGTTGAACTATCAATAATAGAGGGGTTCCGCATAATCACACACTCCGAAATCAGGTCAGATGGTATTGATTTGATGTGACGCCAGTCAGACGTGTTAGTTGACACACAAACGGGGATTTTTACTTCTGTGTTTTGAGAAACTGTCACTGGCTCTAATTCCGCATAATCGGCGCTACTCTCCATTATGTTGCTTTATGCACAAATCATAAACACTGTAGTATGAATAAGCAAGTGTATAATCCAGAAAATATTAATCCACTTAGAATCCTGAATAGTGAGCGTTAGTTATATGCTTGCAAGCATCAATTTTTGAAATAAAGACAAAAAAGAAAAAGTGATTACGTCTAATTGTCTCAAAAGTTAAACACAGAATTAAAGAAAAGCTCCAAAAGAGAAGCTACAAGCGCGTATTTCAATCTGCGCTGCACTCAAGCGTGACGAAAACCTCTGTCAGTATGGGTGAGTGATCGTTTAATCTTTCCACATTATAATTGAATCTAGGCCGTAGGGCGCTGGTTAGTACGGACTTTATTTGAATTGTTAACAGTACATAAAAAGTCATTCATAATCCGCTGTTTTTATATACCTATTTCTTATATCGACTCCAAAATGGCTGAATAACACAAAGAGTCACTGCGCCTCAGGCACTAAATATCCATTGTTTTTTGTTTTTGTCTAATAATTCCAGTGTGAATCACTATTTAATATCCAAAATTGAGTATCGTAAGGTCCTGGTATTAATGAATTAATGTGCCAATTTCCAATACAAGGCAATATTTCTAACAATTTTTAAAACAAGAAAACCCTAGCAACCATCAATTATATCACCGGTCGCAAAACGGGGTCAATAATAAAAACAGTAATCAGAGACAGTAATATTTTTTTACTCCTTTCAGATTTTTAAGCGATGAACATCTCATTATTTATACAAGCAGACAACGAGTTAATGACACTGCCAATTCACCGGCAATATCTCTGATACATTACATGCAAAATGATATGCCAGCTATTAAATATATTAGTATGATGTATATGTATATGCTTGTTTTTTCCGCGCCTTCTAATAGTACATTTGTTTAAATAAAATGTCTACTTTAAGATTTATCACACTAGTCAGAAATGAAAACAACAACAACAACAACAACAACAACAAAACAACCATGCACCTTCTTTCAAGAATGTTTATTAAGGATCTCCTACAGTCGTGTTATTTATTTAAATCTCTCTTAGTTATTGACCAGGGGAAGTAATCATTGTAGTGTACCAGCAATATGCCATCAACGGTTACTTCTCCTGATCAGTTAGTGTAGCATGGTACTTTTGTGAAAGCCAGATTTTTATATTGTCTGGTATAAGATATACAATGTACGTATAAGAGACACATATACCTTCAGAAGGCTGCCTATACATTTACATGTGTAATATTAAGTTGACTCGGTATTTAAGTTTAAATGTTGAGTATGATTAAAACACAACTACATAAATTAAAACACACAATAATGAATTATTTGAGCCGCGTCACGACAAAACCAACATAGTGGGTTTGCGACCAGCATGGATCCAGACCAGCCTGCGCATCCGCGCAGTCTGATCAGGATCCATACTGTTCCCTATCAGTTTCTCTACTTGTAATAGAGTTCGTAAGCGAACAGCATGGATCCTGATCAGACTGCGCGGATGCGCAGGCTGGTCTGGATCCATGCTGGTCGCAAACCCATTATGTTGGTTTTGTCGTGACACGGCTCATTTTTATTCCGTAAAAGAATAACTTGGGATATTAAATATGAAAACAAAGATCAACAAAGAAGCCTCCAGTTAAAACCTTTCGATGTTTCTGAGTTTTTTTTTTAAACGTGGACAGGCAAAGTATGATTATCTAATGCAAATGTTAATTAGATAATATTATCAATTAATGAGTACAGGCCATTATATGGCGATTTATACGCACCATATAAGCTATAAAAAGCCAACTATGCAGTCGTTCTGAACAAAATTATAAGAGACTATTTCTAAAAGTCCTGGGTATATAACAGAACATGTTTTTAATGAATGTAAACAGTAAATTATACAGGTTAGTAAAATGACTATAAAAGCTTACTAATGGTTGGAAAAGTTGCTCCATATGATGAAGTCAAGATGGGCAAGTCAAACTCAGACCCATCTGTCAGAAATCATGATTGGACCAAAAATATGATAAACAAGATCAACAAGGAAAGGCGGTGTTCAATGAAAGTAACCTTATACGAACCAGCAACAAGATAGAAGGCACTTCCCTTCAGATGTGATTGATCAGTAAAGTTTGTTTCAGGGAACCATCACCAAGAGTGTATATAAGGCAAAATGAAACAACTTGGTCAAGCAGTGTTTGACTGCCTCAAATGTTTGGGAGCATCTAGTGATAGTTCATAAGGTTTATTTTTAAAGACTCCTTAAAGTGGTCGTTCCCAGTTTTAATCTATAAGTTTCACAGGATAATCTGTTATGAAGGATTAAGTATAATACAGGGGAGGAAGTGTTACACGAGGGATGGAGTTCTAATGATAACTTGTCAAGGAGTTCTTGTGATAACTGTCACGGAGTTCGTCGGAAAACTATTGTATATACTGCAAAACACTCGTCAAAATGGTAATTTTCATCTTTAAAAAGTGAGTTTTACATGCTAAATTAAAATTTAATGATTAAGCTTGTCTTACATATTGTATTACGCGTCAAAAACTAATTCATAAACTCATACTCATAGTCCATTTTTCATTGCCTCTTGCTTAAAATCTGGAAGTTTCGAGTAAAATTTCCAAATTATTTGCCAATTCGCAAGTATTGACCTGTTTATTTCAAGTCTTCATCCTTGCCATACATAATTACGTAATTATAATGCAAAATTACAAACATAACGCCCCGGCTGACAAATTTATACCGGATTTTTCAAATGTCCCGGAGTTCATAAAGAACTCCATCCCTCGTGTAACACTGCCTCCCCCGTGCTACACCCGGAGTCCCGGACATAGTGAATTTTCATTTTTTATCGTACATAATGAATCAACTAATTCCAGCATGTTAAATATATATATTGACCAGTGTTGGAATTGAAGAATAGACATCAAATAGACTGCGATACAAATAATAATAATAATAATAATAATAAAAACAAAAAAAAACGAAGGCACCTGAAAAAAATCAGAGCGCTAGGATAATTTATAAAACAAGGCCTTCAAATCATCCTTAAAACTTTAAAATGAAAAAAGGAAAGAAGAAACAACAACACCAACAAAAAAACATATCAAATTAAAAGTCAAAATCACTGAGGTTCATTTAAAAGCCTAAAACATAAAAATTGATTTTTTTTTCATTCACAAGGAACACGGGTCTGATTATGAGGCGCTTTTAAAAACAGAAAGATTTGCAATAGATAATGAATTAAGAAATATACTCGGAAATAAATTGAAAATAGTATTTTTGTGCTATTAGCCTGATTTTTCAAAACGCTTTTCAATTTTGTGTATTTTTTTCACAATTAGAATAATTATTCTGGAAAAAACACCCCCTCCCTCCAAAAAAATCCTCTAGCGAATCACAGAGCTCTATTTAAATAATTTAATTTAAGTAATTATTAAAGTCTCCTAGCGAATTCATGAAATAAAATTTATTTTGCTCTAAAGTTACCGGTCTAAACCTACATCAATGGAATTTTTTACGTCTGTTTTGATAAAAATTACTCGACAGTACAAAGACGTTGATAGGCATATATATCCTAAAAACACAGTTGGGCTGCTGCTGTACCTATCTATCTATACTAGTAAAACATTTAAGACACATGCACATGTGACGTGAGAAAACGTCCATATGAATATCTAGACCAAAACAGTGGGACATTTACTCGTGATCCTTTCCGATTAACTGTATCAACCTGGTGTCTACAATGTTTATTTACTTTTGAATTGACCTGACCTACTTTTACCTCGACGTCTGACCTACTTATAAAGGTTAGTGAATGTGTAATTGCGCATGCGTCAGTCAGTAGGTAAACAAAATGGCGGCGGAGAAGACAGGAGGCAAGGGCCCTCCGAGTACTTCGGGAATTGTAAGGGTTGGATATTACGAAATGGAAAGAACAATCGGGAAAGGAAATTTTGCTGTTGTAAAGTTAGCTACACATATTGTCACTAAAACAAAGGTAAGCTGGATCATGTCGGAAAACACGAATATTTTCATAGCAACTTGGAACTTCAGTTCCAAAAAAATGATGCTAAATTATTTTTCTAACAGCAAGATTATTTCACAATTTATGAACTAAAGAAACACTTGTACATAAATACTCATTTATAACAATTTGATCTCTGTAAAGATCATTATTAACTATTTTAATTCTGTGGGTTGGTCTTGTTGAATTTGATGCTAACTAATGCAAACAAGGCCAGCAGTGTAACTGTATAGCTAAGTTAATTTGTTTGCAGACTTATAATTTTCTCTTTATGACAGAAATTTTTGGCAGTCACCAGGGTTAGACCCCTATGTATTTTTTTCAGAGTCAATTTGTATGTAATACAGTAAAGAAAATGAACTGAACCTTTAGTTACTCCTGATTCAGACCTAGCTTAAGGTCTTCAGCGTACCCGTTTATATACCATGACATGCCGCATCAGATGAAAAACAAAAATATTAAAAAGACGCTTATAAAGTTTTTGGAAGCCAGAACTTATTTAGACCCTGGGGGATATTCGAAGATGTAGCTGATTTTACATGCACATTGTTGGCCCTGAAGCCAATATCCAGTCTTTGAAGTGTTTTTCATGGTGAACTAGTTTGTACCTTACAAAGGACTAGTTGGCAGCTACAACATGTAAAATACCTTGAGGTGTAGCCCTTTAGGGCTATTTATTATATAGATAATGGTTGCCCTTAGTGAATACAGACATCTATGTAATATCAGATTGTAGTCGGTTTGTCTTGCAGTCGAAATATTGAGACTACTTGAGGTGTAAACTAGGAATATATATATAATTTTTGATTCACTTTCATTACTATTTACTTAGGCCAACTTATTTATTCTGTACAAATGTGTCTTTTAAATTTCTTACTCATAAGTGCACTAGAACAAAGATTGACAGACATATAAATAATGTAAAAAACACAGGAGATTTTGAAGAATTATCTTCTCTTAAAGTCAATTCTTTTATCTTGTTGATTTTGACATGTCAACATCCCTGCAAGGGGTTTGACATTAGTGGAGGATAGATAAAAACAGAATCTTTTGCCAGCAGTAAACAGTATTATGTAAGATAAACATAAACAACTGGCATTAATTAGTTTAGATGTTAACAGTCCTTCATAATAATAATTACTTGTCAGGCATTATAAAATATTTTCAGAGTCACTAATGTCCTGCATCGAATTCTCTTAAAATCTACCCGTAATTTAATGGATAAGTGGGATTTACAATCTCTGCTTGTCCAGTTATATTATATCCCAGGCCGAAATTATAGAATCAAAATTGCTTTAAGTTTTGATGTTTTATGGTTGGATGTCAAGATACTAATTGTATTTTATCTGCAAGAGTGTCTAAATCTGTCAATAATATATTGGTACATTTGTTACTTTTCTTTTTATATTCAGTCTTCATTTGGAGTACGTTTTTTTTCTTTCAAATTGTAATCAATGATGAGTACAGTATTTATGTTATATACTCATCTGTGGCAGTTTGAACATGCAGTTTTTGTCAGTAATATGCATTATCCTTATGTATACCTGTAACCCATACTTGATTCTCTTTATAGAAAAGGATTAATGTTGCTGAGCCTCGATATGCATTAAAGAGAAAGGTTTTATTATATATTCAGGTGGCCATAAAGATTATAGACAAGACACAGTTAGATGAGGAGAATATACAGAAGATATTCAGGGAAATACAAATAATGAAACTTCTACGACATCCCCACATAATTCGACTTTATCAGGTTTGTGACTTTTTGTGTTCAAAAAAGGCTACTAGGCCTATTTCCAATTGACAAAACTAATAAAAAATCCCTAATAGTTCTACCACCAGTTATAATAATTTGTTATCATCTGTTTTACAGCTTAAATAGTTGTGTTAAATCAACCCAACTTTGTAATTTTTATACATTTTTTACCACAGTTAAACTAACTTTTCCCAATGCTATAGGCATATCAAGTTGTTTCAAAATAGTAAATCCTCTTTTTCTGTTATTTTAATATCCTCATGTGATGATCTAAAAGTGATGGAGATAAATTATCATTGTTCTAATACGGCTGGCTGAATGAAGCTCTATCTAGAGTACCCATTATGTAATTAGATACAATGTTAAATTATGAAATAAGATAGTAGATGTTAACAGTCTTACAACAAGCTTATTAAATTAATAACATACTTAATATGTTTTTAGGTTATGGAAAGTGAGAGAATGCTATATCTAGTCACTGAATATGCGAGTGGAGGTGAAATATTTGGTAAGTTGTTTCAAAAAACAGATCTTTTATATAACTGTCAGGGGCACTTACATGTTAAATGGTACCAGGAAGTTATTTTTCATTCCCTATATCAACCGAACGGTATGTGTAAAATCCTGCCAGTCTGTTTTTTTATCCAATATTTTTGGATGACTGCCTCATCCAGGCCCTCACTTAATTTTAATGATATTTACAATTATAAAAAAACTGAATTTCAAAGTGATTTAGCGTTAAGCACCAACCTGTTCATAACACTGTGATAATTTTGTGTGTATGTCCTTTTTAGCTCGACTATACGAAGTATATGGAGAGCTGTCCTACTCGCCCCGGCGTCCGCGTCCGCGTCCAGATTTTAGATTAAAGTTTTGGTGCAGTAAAATATTTTTCACTATAACTTTGTCATTTCTTAAGGTATCAACTTCAAACTTCAAATATATGTTCCTTATCATCAACCACATCATATGTGACAAGGTTCATAACTCTAGCACCAATATTTTCAGATTTATCTCCCCTTGAACTTAGAATTTTCCTTAAAAAATACTATTTTTTAATGTTACTTCCTTATTTCATAAGGGATCAACCTCATACTTCAAATATATGTACCTTATCATCACCCCCATCTTATGTGACAAGGTTCATAACTCTAGCACCAATAGTTACAGATTTATCTCCCCTTGAACTTAGAATTTTCCTCAAAAAGTACTATTTCTTACTGTTTCTTCTTTATTTCTTAAGGGATCAACCTCATACTTCAAATGTATTTACGTTATCATCATCCCCATCTTATGTGACAAGGTTCATAACTCTAGCACCAATATTTTCAGATTTATCTCCCTTTGAACTTAGAATTTTCCATAAAAAATTTTTTTTACTGTTATTTATTTATTTCTAAAGGATCAACTTCATACTTCAAATATGTTTACGTTATCATCATCCACATCTTATGTGACAAGGTTCATAACTCTAGCACCAATATTGCAAGAATTATCTCCCCATAAACTTAGATTTTTTTACTAGAAAAATGTTATTTTTTATTATAACTTTTTTATTTTTAAAGGTATCTACCTCAAATTTCAAATATTTATTCCTTATCAACAATTACATTTTATGTGACATTGTTCATAACTCTTGATGCAATATTTACAGATTTATCTCTCTTTGAACTTAGGATTTTCATTAAGAAATATAATAACTTTTTTTCTTTTTAAGGTATCTTACTTCAAACTTCAAATATATATTTCTTATCATTACACAAATGTTGTGTGACAAGGTCCATAACTCTAGCATGACTATTTCTAGAATTATTCCCCTTGATCTTGGAATTTATGTTAACAAATATTATTTTTTTACTATAACTTAATACATAATTATACATAATTGATTTTTCTTTCATAGTTTTGTCCTCCTTACTGCGTCCAGTATTTCATTAGTCGAGCTTCGCTGTCTCCTGTGACAGCTCTTGTTTTACAACTGCTGAAGGTATTCAAATGAAAATCCACAAACAAGTACATATTTCATTTTGCAAAAGCAAATTTCGGTAGGATTTTAATAAGAGCCCCCTGCGATTGACAAATACTTGGTAGTGATTCCTGGAGAACTTAGTTCATCTTGTTACCAAGTTGTGGGTGCTTATTTCTACATATAACAGAACATAGAAATTGTTTGTTTGTTATGTATTGCATACTGTCTTACCATGTTTGTATATTTGTACAAATTGTACCTATAACACTGGGTTTTACTAATGTAAGGAGCAAGGTGTCAGTCATTTTGATCCAGTTAATCTACATTTAACTTTCTCACTTGTTGGTCTAGGACCAGGGGGTTATCTGACTTTTGATGGTAGTCTCACAATCATAAATTGATTCATGCCATTGTTAATGTTTTAATATATTAACATTGAGAACTAGGAATTTATACCTAAAATTAGGCTGTTTTGATTTTTTGTGCAAGCAAGATTTTGTTGTGTTTTATTTGTGCTGTATATCGTACAGCAGCTGATATTTTGTCTTTGATATTAGTATGTGTATCATAGAAAAGAATCATGATAGTAACTAAGTCCTTTGTATGTTGTGTATGAAAATTCATGGGTTTTTCTGAAGCATTATAATCGAGATCTGTTGTCTTTGATGACGCTGACTTTAAATATTTTGATAAAGTTGTAAAATAACCATTTTTTCAATCTATATGTTTAACTTTTTTTACTTCTAAGAAATTGATATGGTCTGATGGCTTTTGAAAACAGCTTGAATATTTATTAATTTTATTTTGATAGATAATCAATTTGATTTTAAATTATTCACTCTTTATATGCTGGTGTAAAGTGGTGTTAAGTTAACTGACATGCACTTATCAACAGTTGACATGGGTTAAAATCTATTGGCTAATAAAACAGCTATAATATATTATAATGAAATCATATCTTTGATGTTGTTGACATGAATTTTGATATTGCGCTAGTTATTTGCACATTTTGTGGTGGTTGGCTGATTTTAAAGGTTTTATAGTTTGAAATATTTTTCTGCTGAAGGAAAAAAGTACATGATGTACATATTGTACATGTGTTGACTCAAGGGTTGCAGAATTGTTATTTGTATACATATATACATTTTTGAATATAAATTGTTAAACATAACTGCATCATATTTCCAATGAATGAAGCATTACACCACAATGTTTCTATAACTTTTACTGTGGTAGATACCTAACCTTTACATGTTATATCTTGCCTAAAGAATTTTATTTATTTTTATCTCAAAACAATTAAATTATGATAATTTTATTGAATATAATTATGACGTTTACACTTCTGTCATGACAATTTCTCTAGTTGTGCCAGCCCAGCTGATTTGTAACCAACTTGAATTTATTTCTGGTATTGAAGAACTGTTGAGTTAACATGTTTATGAAGTTCACAGTATTCTATCTCACTCATCTCTATGCAAACACAATAGCAAAAAAATTCTCAGTTCAGATACTTTAGTGCAGTGTAACTGTATGGGTGGTAAATGTTTTAAACTTCAAATGTATTATTGTCATATCAAGGGGTCCTGATATTATTTCAGTTTAAATTGTTTCTGAATTTTCCTATTAAGTAATGCTTTCATTTGAATAATTAACTTATACTCGAAAATGCAGTTGACACTGTTGTAACATAGCGTAATGTTTAGAAGTCAATTAAAAGGGGCGTGTCATCTTATAAACAAAAATATTTTAGTGCATGTTATGATATACCAACGTCTAGAAAAAAGACCAAGTTCTGGCTTCAGAGTCAAAAACTTTTTCTTAGTTCTGTCTCAAATCTCAAAATTTGCATCAATTGGTCAGTGACCATTCTTTGACAGTTTCTGACTAATTGTATTCTTGAGAACCGAGTTTGATCATAGAGAATTTCTTTAAACATTGGACCCTACTCTGATCATATAGTTCTCTTAGTACATTTTGAAGTATTAAACTGAAGAATATATTAAAAGGGACTTAAAATGTGTATCAATAATTTTTTTTGCAAATGAAAGTGTCCCATATTTCATTTAATCATTATATGATAGTAAATGTTGACATACTGTTCTACGGTCATTCACCTAAGGTCACTATACACTGTAAAAACAAGTATTTATGTCAGTGTTGACTGGTCATTGTACCCTTAAAAAATCGTGTTTGACCCTCTGGCAAAGCTATATTTAACTTATGTTTGTAATACTAATGTGCTCAGCTAGCTTGGGCTGTTGTTGTTTATTAATTAGAAGTTTATTCATGTGCATGGACTTGAGTATGCCCTCTTTAAAGATTGTTTTGCTATGTATGATTGTCTATTTACATTAAAAAAGGTCCCAGAGCTTACCTGGGTTTATAATATTCTGGTCAGTTTGTGTAGTTGTTAGTTGATTCCTTCCATTGTAAATAAAAAGAAAATCTTCAAAGCTATATTGTTTCAAAACACCCTGTGGCTTTCTGAAGTGGAAAATATAGCGTGAATAGGGGAAAATCAAATTCCAACAACTGAGAATGGAATTTATCCACACATTTTATAAAGTTTTCAATTTCAATTCAATTTAACATTCATGGTAGTTAGCAGAGGCAATCTTTCTGTCTTTAAGCTGATATAAGTCAGCTGCTGTTAAGTCATGGTTCTGTTGAAGAATATGCACAGGATATTTTAGTGGAAAATATTAGCATTTTTTTAATCAGAAAATTATGCCTTGTGCTTTGTTTTTGTTCTTTTAAAGGTTAATAGAAGAAATAAAATGTAGGTATTATTTAATTAGAATTCATTTATCAATTTATTAATTGTTACCAGATTATAAAAGCATAAATTGTCCAGCATTTTGAAATTCCATGTTTATTTGGGAGTACAGTTCAATAAAAAAAAAAAAAAAAAATCGACCTACCTACCCACCTTGAAAATTCTGGGTCGGGTTACTGCAAACAAACATTTTTTTAAGGATGGCCTAAGTCAGCTGCTGTTAAGTCATGGTTCTGTTGAAGAATGTGCACAGGGTATTTTAGTGGAAAATTTTAGCATTTTTAGGGGAAAATATACCTGTTTTGGGCTGGGGGAATCAGCCTTTATTCGGCAGAAAAATCACTGATAGTACTCACCAGCATCAGTGTTGACGTTGGGTCACTGGTTGTTTCAGCATGCAAATTGGTATCTCCAGAACTACTGAAGGGAATGGTTAGAAACTTCGCAGAAACTTAACACACTTCTTTAGGAGCATAATAGGTCACTGTCCTTAAGGCCCATAACTCTTACATGGATTTTGACATAATTATGGCCCTTTTTAGCTCGACTATTCGATAAGAATAAGTAGAGCTATTGCAGTCACCCGAGCGTCGGCGTCGGCGTAACCACTTATTTTAAAGTTTTTGTAATAGTTCAAATATTTTCAAAGTCCATTGACATATGGCTTTGAAACTTTGCACACTTGTTCACCATCATGACCCCAACCTGTAGACAGGAGGAGGTAACTCTATCAAGCATTTTGACAGAATTATACCTTTTTTCGACTTAGAATTTACATTAAAGTTTTTGTAATAGTTCAAATATTTTCAAAGTCCATAGACTTATGGCTTTGAAACTTTGCACACTTGTTCACCATCATGACCCCAACCTGTAGACAGGAGGAGGTAACTCTATTAAGCATTTTGACAGAATTATGCCCCTTTTTCAACTTAGAATAATAGGTCAAGTGTCTTGCCATTACATAAGGCCCTTTATAACTCTTACATGGATTTTGACATAATTATGGCCCTTTTTTGCTTTCCTTTTGGTCATAATTGTGTTCACTAATCAAGGCATGGATTTTGACTTCTGAACTAAATTCTTGGTTGAAGTTTTGCATGCAATATCAATCTTTAAAACTAATGAAGGTATTTACTTGAAACTTAAATTGGGTCTTTTTGATCATATTCCAAGCTCATATTACAATCTTTGAGTGATCCTGGCTCTCATTTTTACGATCAAGCACTGAGAATAGTCAAACATGCTGTCCTTCTAAAGCTCTTGTTATTATACTGAATCTGAATTATAATGATTCACAGGGGATTTAAAACTGTTTTATTGGTCATTATTGTTGTGCATTTATGTATACAGCAAATTGCTTATATCTGAGGCAACATGCAAGTGCATGGAAGTCAATACAAACATTATCTACTTACTGTGTATCAAAACATTATTAAATAACGGGAAAGTCAATAATTTTGACCGTATTTATGTCAAAGAAAACTCACGTTTTGTTTTGATATAGCAATGGCTATTATTTTATAAAGATATGACTTACCTTAGATAATTAACTTTGAAAAAGAAACAACATTACAGTCATTATTATTGAATTGTCAAGTCACAAACTTTAAACACTCAACTTCTATAAGCATTAAGGGATTTTTATAAAACCTATCTCTTCTGTTCACCATGGTTAAGGCAATGTGTTGAGCACAAAATTCAGGTCCCTTCATCAATGGTAAAAATCTCACAGATTGAAATATGAACATGTTTGTGACAGTAGACAATTTTGTAGTTCCATATCACAAATATTCACAGTTTTGAGACCAAGTCAGACTCCGCATAATTCAGGTCATTTTATGCTATGTCAGGACAATTATCTTCTACAAGCGGGGATGAATGGTAGTTTTACTTTACACAAATGAGCCGCGTCACGACAAAACCAACATAGTGCGTTTGGACCAGCATGGATCCAGAACAGCCTGCGCATCCGCGCAATGTGATCAGGGTCCATGCTGTTCGCTATCAGTTTCTCTACTTGTAATAGGGTTTGTGAGCAAGGCTGGTCTGGATCCATGCTGGTCGCAAACACACTATGTTGGTTTTGTCGTGACGCGGCTCAAATGTTCACAGTTATTACATGTGGACAAGATGCTTCTTCCTGTCTGTAGCATCCATAACGAAAGCCATAACGGTGTGCACACATAATGCTCATTTCATCTACTATTTTAAGTGATGGAAAAAAACGGATAGCCTCTCAACGAGGGTCTGAGCTATATTTTTATACCAATAATACCAATACAGGTTAATTCGAGAAATTGGGACTTGAAAATGATTCATACAACTTGCTAAACATTGATTCACATTCAAACTAAAAAGGGTATGTTAAAACTAAGATTATAAATGTTGAATTACAATATGCTTTATGCTTGTAAAGATGTTAAATGGCATTTGTGCACATCATCTCTGAAATGGAGGCAATATGTCTAGGAGAACAAGGCGCACTGTGATGTGATGTGAAAGTTTCTTGTAGAATGTGGAACTTCTCTAAATACCCTTGTGACAGTTTGTGACTGTGAGAGTCTTAAATTCTCGTGTGACGGTGACTGACATTTGAAACCATGTCTGCTGCTGAAAATTGTTCAATATCCAATATTACGGACATTTAAGCTTTAGTCTAAGAGATTTCCTTAGCATTGCTTATTTGATCTTTAGGTTTATTATGAATGTCAGGTTTAGGTTTTTAAAACCCTGTGTGAGACGAAATGTAATTAGCAATTTTCTGTACTTTCTTCTAGTTCTTGACTAATACTGGTTTAATAGAATATACTCCCAGGTGTGTAATTTGAGTCTTCAGTTAGATGTTTGAGGCTTTTTTTTTATACATGTTCATAAATGTAGTGAATGAGTTTTGTTTATTAAATGTTAAAAAACAAAACATTGAGTATGCCTTGAAAAAAAAAATAATATTGTCATTGCATGTCATTTCAAGGTTCTTTGCACTGAACTTCTGAATAAAGTTATTACAGGCTTTGACTTTATTATACAACATCCAATAAATCTCGAAACATTGTTAAAATATTTATAAATTGTCTTTTCTGACCTAGTATTTTGATGTCTCATAGCAAAACATTCGCAGACAGTCAACAATATTTATTGTTTTTTGTATAGAGGTTCAGAAATAGTCAAGGTTGTTATGTCCTATAGGAAAGTGTCCATAATCTTGACTGTTTGTGACATGTTTGTAGAAGTTTTTGTTTTGTTCTTTTTTTGCTGTTTTTCTTTTACTCCACTATCTTGTTTGTTTTTATCTTACAATATAGTTACAGTTGATAGTAAATGTGATGATCGTAAGGTCATATTTGTGGTACATTATCTTGTACAAGGCCACGCTAAGTCACAAATGACAGATTATTGTTTGTTACGATAAAGTCATAAAATATTAATCCTTTACACACCACAGTAAGTACACTGAAACAGTTTGAAGACTGTCGCCATTTTAGTTTGATATATTAGGCCTTGCCTCTCATCATTTAGATAGCACAGTTAATATTTGGGTAAAGTTTGCGTTAGTAAGCAATTTGTTACAGATTTTCATAAGTGATATACCTACCATGATACCCTTATAAGATTTATACTCTTGTGTAACTGAAAATCAGATAAATGCAGAATACATTGTATATCGTAAGTTTTTAAGGTTTTTTAACTTATGGTTGACTTGTTTAAGTACTCAAAATCGAGACATATTTTGTGTGAGTGCTTCTAGATATAAATTTCTTTGCCTCTTTGTCCAGTGACGCAGCATGCTTTCTTTTAGGTAAAGATTTGTGATTGTATCTTGAATGTTCTTATATTGTAATCCATGAAATGAATGATTGTTATTTTACGTTTTACCCTGCTGGGAACAAAGTGATTTAATTGCCTTTGCTACCAGTGTAGAGCTGATGCCAGCCTGCATTTCTGTAAAGTCTTGAACCAACTTAAATTGAGGGAGTAAATTTGATTCTGTTCACAATATAGTTTGATGACTAGCTAAATTTTATATCATTTATAAGTGACAACATTTGACAGTGATGTTTCTTGTATATTTTCAGATCACCTTGTTGCGCATGGAAGAATGAATGAAAAAGAGGCGAGAAAGAAATTTAAGCAGATAGTTGCGGCTGTATCATATTGTCACAGTCGGCATGTAGTACATAGAGATTTAAAAGCTGAAAACTTACTGCTAGATGCTGCACTCAATATTAAAATAGCAGGTATGTCCTTTGCCTGTTTTTAGCTTAAATATATACATATACAATGTATATATAGATACTTGATAGGAGAGGTTTCCACCTCTCCTACATGCACAGGTATAAACATCCACATTAGCATTGCATCTTGATTAATTATTTTGTATCTTCCAACTTTAATTTATAAATTACATTTGTTAATGATCAACGCCTCCACATATATTCAAATTTTTGTGTTTTTTGTTGTAGTTTTTAACAAACTTGAATATTTGGTAATATGCGGTTGAGTTTTCTTGAAATTATGTGTGACATTTATTTGTATGCAAGGGCATAGAACTGATGGACTTTTACAAAATGATACCACAATTCAAATTCAAAGGTATTCACCCTTATTGCCATGGCCCATTTTTAACTCCCAAATTCAAAGAAAAAAAGGTTTTCAGAGGTACTGTCATGACCTAATGGCTTTGATGTAGGTTAATCTTTTGATTGGTTAAGATTTCTGTATGGTCATTAACTTCAATATTTAACTCCAAATGTCATAGTCATTGACCTGTAACAGGTAATGTCTTGAAGTCCATTTTCTCAGAAACTACCAAAGCTATTAGTTGTAATCCGGAACTCTGCAAATGTGGTATTTTCCATGCTTATCCCTTGGTACATACAAACTTTTACAGATATAGCTTCAGGTTGCACAACCGGTCACAAGAGGTAAGTCTACCTGTGGCAATTTTTTTTAGGCTGTAACTGTAAAAGTTTGTTTGTATCATTGGATTAGTTGGGAAAAACCAAAACTATTCTTTATTCCAGAGTAAGTCTATTATGCCACCTTTTCTGTGTTGCTTTTATTTAACGTAAAGTAGAGAGTGCTGTTTCCTGACTGGTCTTGTTTTGTCTCAAAACTGATTTGAGCCGCGTCATGATAAAACCAACATACTAGGTTTGTGACCAGCATGGATCCAGACCAGCCTGCGCATCCATGCAGTCTGATCAGGATCCATGCTGTTCGCTATCAGTTTCTCTACTTGTAAAAGGGTTGGTAAGCAAACAGCATGGATCCTGATGAGACTGCGCGGATGCACAGGCTGGGCTGGATCCATGCTGGTCAAAATGATACCACAATTCAAATTCAAAGGTATTCACCCTTATTGCCATGGCCCATTTTTAACTCCCAAATTCAAAGAAAAAAAGGTTTTCAGAGGTACTGTCATGACCTAATGGCTTTGATGTAGGTTAATCTTTTGATTGGTTAAGATTTCTGTATGGTCATTAACTTCAATATTTAACTCCAAATGTCATAGTCATTGACCTGGAGCAGGTAATGTCTTGAGGTCCATTTTCTCAGAAACTACCAAAGCTATTAGTTGTAATCCGGAGCTTGGCAAAAGTGGCGATTTCCATGCTTAACCCTTGGTACAAACAAACTTTTACAGATATAGCTTCCCTGTGCACGACTGATCACAATAGATAGGTCTTCTTGTTGCACTTTCTTTTGAGGCTGTAACTGTCAAAGTTTGTTTGTACCACAGGATTAGCTGGGAAAAACCAAAACTATTCTTTATTCCAGAGTAAGTCTATTATGCCACCTTTTCTGTGTTGCTTTTATTTAACGTAAAGTAGAGAGTGCTGTTTGCTGACTGGTCTTGTTTTGTCTCAAAACTGATTTGAGCCGCGTCATGATAAAACCAACATACTGGGTTTGTGACCAGCATGGATCCAGACCAGCCTGCGCATCCATGCAGTCTGGTCAGGATCCATGCTGTTCGCTATCAGTTTCTCTGCTTGTAAAAGGGTTGGTAAGCAAACAGCATGGATCCTGATGAGACTGTGCGGATGCGCAGGCTGGGCTGGTTCCATGCTGGTCGCAAACCCATTATGTATGTTTTTTCTTGACACGGCTCATATTATATATATCATAATATTATGTTAATTCTAGATAAACCTGAATTAATTCAATTGATTAAATTTGATACTGACAGCTAGGTTTAGTAAAAAGAGGAGGACATAATGATATAGAACAGTTTTTTATGAAAATGTTAACTAAGCTGTGAAACTGTAGCTTATAAATGATTTAGAATTGATAATCTGTAATTAAACTGAAATTGATACTCATAGAATTACATAACCTAACACTGTGGTTAACCTCTTGTTAATTAAATATTAACATTTACACTAAATGATTTGAAGTTTGCAATTTTACATTATGTATTTGATATTCCATTTAAAAGATTGAGGTTCTTTAGAGCTAACATAGGGAACAAAAAGTGTTAATAACAAGAAAGACCTTGTCAAAAATATATATTCATAAGTTTTGGTGAATTTTCCAGAATTTAGATAATTTGACAGTGAAGGTCTACTGGTTATTTAGAAATATGGTCATATTTTAATATGAAATATTGTATGGAATCTTTATTTAAAAAAATGATCAATGTATAAAATGTTTACACTAACAGGGAGGCAGATAAGAAAAAAACTCCATGCCATGCCATTTATAATGGTTGAAACTTGTTTTAAGACTAAAAATTTAAGCAACTTCAAACTTATGCTAGTAGGCATATATTCAATAGATGGCATTGAAGGACTGAGAACAAAAAGCCTAAATACATAAATTCAAAATCTTTTTATTGATCAAGTGTAGAACTTAAAATAGAAAGATCTGCAAAGGATAATAATGAAATTTACTCGGAATTAAATTTTTTGTGTGATTCTTTGCCCTATTTGGGCAAGGTTTTGCATTTTATGGTCATTTTAGGCAATAAAAATGATAATTCTGGAAAAGTGATTTTAGGGAATGATCTGAAATTTTGCACACTAGTTATTGGCTCATACCCTTATCAAATGATATACATGTACGAAAATTGAGAAAAAATTATTTCCAGTCCCCTAATGTCAAAAAACCTCCGTGGAGTCTCTTTAAGTCAGAGCCTAAGAATTTTTGCTTGAATTAGTCATAGCTATAATTTCAAGCATTTGATAGGTGCAAACACTTTGATAATTCATCATGAAGTCATGTATGAATAATCTACTTTACTAATTGATGAAATATCATTCCTCAGTATTGATTATTTATATGTCATCTCATTTGAAAAGTCACAAGGAATCAGTTAACTGATCTGTGCATTTTGCTATTAATTATGTATCCCTGTCATGAAACTGAATGTAAATGTTTCAGTAGAAAATGGTGGTAGTCAGTTTTAGAATTTTAATCCCGATTGATAAGCAGCATGTGAAAACAGCTATAATTTGACTTTTGCTCCATTTCAGATTTTGGGTTCAGCAATTTATTTGACACAGACACAAAATTGAAAACGTGGTGTGGCAGTCCACCTTATGCAGCTCCTGAACTATTTGAAGGCAGAGAATATGATGCCCCAAAAGTTGATATATGGGTAAGTTGTAAAGGTCTTTTTATATCCTACAACATGCATGTAGCTTCAGGGCTTTTTTTCCCTTTCTATTGCAGGGGCCGTGTAAGGACAGCTTTCCCTAAAGAAAAATTCTTTAAGATCATGCAGTTTTCCCCAAAAATTGGATTTACATAAAGTTCTTTCTTCCCCTTTTGCAAATATACCGTATAATTTCACCAACCTGTGAAAAAAAAGACCTGAGCTTATACATATATAGATTCTGCCAACTTTGTCTTATTAAACCTACTACAAACACTAATTCTGAAGCAAGGCTAAATCCTGAAAAGGGAACTGACCAAAGACATGACTTATATACATTTATTATATGTATATCTAATTGGAACTTTAACTTAAATTGGGCACTTTTTTCCTCCAACTGTGATTTAGCTTAAACACTGAAACAAATGTAAAATCTAAATTCAGTTATAAACAAGATTTTTAAGCATTATTACAATGTTAACCTTTAACTAACTGTACAAGAAGCAATGGTACATTATTTGTATGTCTGAAGTCAGGTCATTGACAGAAATCTTATTAATATTTAAAATATTTTGAGTTTATTTCAGATGTCTGTGTTTTGAAAAATCATTTTTGACATTTGAAATATAATACAATATGTTAGTTGATGTGTGCGTTCATACAATGGTAACTGCTGTTACTTTAAAATATTGACAACCTATGAATATTTACAAATGTGAAATGCATGCATTTCATTTGTACATTATTTTTTTTGTTTTATAACAATCAATATATTGTAACTTTGTTTTATGAATGAAAGGTAAATTATTAGAATATAACCAGACTTGTACCACGCATGTATAGACTTAATCAAACCAAGTCTGCAATTTTCATGTAATTTTGCTGTTTTTGATACTTTCGAGGGATCACTTTTTCCCAAATATTTGTAAATTTGTCTATCCTGCTGAAGGCATATATTATAAGATTTTTACCTTCACTACAGGATTGTCATATAAATTTTGCTGTGATACATGTAATTTTTTCCCATACAGTAACAACAAAGGGTAATTTCTAAGATTTGAGCAGCCCAAAATGCATTTGAGACAGTCATTTTGGCCCATAGCTACCTCTAAATGACAACCCAGATACAGAATCTGTACAAATTAAATATTCTGTTTATGAGTACAGAGAAAAAGCAACTGTTATATTATCAGTAGGTTAATTATCTAGTTACAAAATGTTCTATAAACAAAAATGACACATAGGCAATTAGTCTTGACTCTTATTTTTATAAACCAAGGGTATGAAGGATAGTTCCCTTGTAAACATGGTAAATAATAAATGTTTGAGAATTTCTAACGATGTAAATATATGTATAACTAAATCAACATTACACCAGTCCTGTGAAAATATAAGTGCATAGAATGAATGTCTAATGATCTATCACTAAATGAGCCGTGTCATGACAAAACCAACATAATGGGTTTGCGACCAGCATGGATCCAGACCAGCCTGCACATCTGCACAGTCTGATCAGGATCCATGCTGTTCGCTTACCAACCCTATTACAAGTAGAGAAACTGATAGCGAACAGCATGGATCCTGATCAGACTGTGCGGATGCGCAGGCTGGTCTGGATCCATGCTGGTCGCAAACACACTGTTTGTTTTGTCGTGATGCAGCTCAAATCAACATTGCAACAGTGAAAATATAACATCATAGATCACTGGTCATGTGTAACTCCTCATTTGCATATTATATGCACTGCCATGCCATATCTGTACTACAGAGATAGAGAAGTGGCATCATTTTCCCTTAACCTGCTTTATTTCTAATATGGATCTGTCCAGCTTTGAATTTGGAACAGTCCATTCAGAGTTTAAGGGATTTCAATATCAAAATACTAAAATTGAGCTGCCAACAGTATAGAGTCTGGCCAGACTGAACAGATGTGCAGGCTGGCCTGGCTCTATACTGGTGGCAAAGGCTGACCACTTTTGGTTCCAGCAGGGTTAATGTTATAATCTATGTCACCAAATTTAGTATGGTAACATTAAAGGCACATCATGCCTCAGAAAATACATTTTTTTTAAATTCTTAAGAAAGATCCAACATTATTGTGTGTTTAATAATGTTTTTTATAATAGATTTAGAGCATGTTAGATGTTAAACAAATGAAGACATGTTAAACAACTGAAGGCAGTAGTGATGAATTTCTAATAATGTGTTGTAAATGTAACAAAATGTAAACAAAGTGAATTTTTACTTACAAGTACAAAATATTTAATCACTATAATTATACCAAATGCGAAAGAGCAAAACAATAAGACTTCCATCAATATAGCCAATGAGTAATTGTTTCGAAACTGTAACAAGATACCAAGAATATACATAAAGAATAGAGAAATAAAAATGGAAAAAAAAATGGGCCCTTGAAAACAGTTTTAAGGTTTATAGTCAAATTTATCATGTTTTTGTGTGTTTTCAGAGTCTGGGTGTAGTATTATATGTGCTGGTCTGTGGTGCTCTACCCTTTGATGGCAGTTCATTACAAAGTTTACGGACACGGGTGCTTAGTGGGAAATTCAGAGTTCCCTTTTTTATGTCAACAGGTAAGAACTGATAAGATTAAAGTTTTGTACATGCAAAGATGTGGTCAACTGATCACTCACAAAACTTATTGTAGATGTATTTGTTACAGTTAAGAACTTTCACTATATAGAATATGTATAAGCAGCCGGATAGCTCAGTCAGTAAAACCAGGAAATGGTATTTCGAGGGTCTCGCGTTTGAGTCCCGGTCAGACTGCACATTTTTCTCTTCCTGTGACATATTTCAAGAAGTTTTCAAGTTTGTATCTATGTTAAACCACACTGTATAACAGGTAAAAGTGAACTTCGGTCAGCTTGCTAACACCATTTTAACTGAATACAGCATGAGTTCTTTCACTGCCTGCTCGTGCCTGAAAAAAATGCACAGAAGGTACACCTGAGGTTTTCCTTCCCCAGTAAAAGCTTGAAAGTCTCCAATACAACCTTTACTGTATCGATGCGATATACAATCCAACAACAAACAAAATAACAAATAATATTTTAAATTCTGCATACTGCATGATAAATTGCAGGTGATCAGTTGTGTACCGTACTGTATAAAATTATTATCATTTCCTCAGTTAATAAGTAAATAACAGAAGTTTTTAATGCTCAGTTATTTACACTCGGCTAGATTGTAAAAATCAGCCTTAGTAAGAAATAATAAAGGAAAGATAATCAGCATATCACTAATATTTATGTCAATCTACCATCGTAACAATAAGTTATTACACTCTTAATTGCTACTACAGAGCAATATTTCGGCTGCGGAATTCTCATATGAATTTCCTAATACAAATCTAATTATTCAAAGTTGGTTTTCTTTCGCTTGCAAAATACACCTGAGATGTGAATATTGGTAAATAATGTACTTTAATAAAAGCAACATGGTACAAATTGAAAGAGAATGAGATATTGGAGCGTTAAGTTTTATTATTAAGAAGCATTTAAAAGATATTAAAGAAAGAAAATTGTTGTTCACCAACAACAACTACAAAATGAAATTTTGAGTAAGATAAAGTGTCAAGATATTTACATAATGATGTTAATAATTTGCTTCCATACTTCTGCAATGGCCACTATGGAGAGGTTATTAAGTACAGCAGAATAGGGGTTTTACACACATTAAAAAAAGAGCATATTTGGACATTGTTGTAATAAAAGGCACGTGATCTGACTTACTTCAGAATTTAAATTTAACGGACCCTACTGATCCTAAATGCAAGCCACCACTAGTGTTTTGTCAATAAATGATGTCACAGTGGAAAAAAACAAAAACGTCCATTTAGTTTATAATTCCTAAAGCTATTTTTCATTATAACATTTTAAATTATATTATTGAAAATGGAGTTAATCAGTCTACTCTATGCACAGTTCATAAAATTTTATTTTCATAACTATTTTTGAGATGACGGTTATTAAAGAAATGATAAACCTTCAGTGATAATATATTGTTAAACTGTCTAGGTACAGGTGATATGATGATTATTCTATACATATACAGTGTACTTTATGTTACTACTTGGCAGCTTGTGACTTTAGTCATGTAGTTTTATTGTATAATGCATGTGTACATAGTGTGCATTTAATTATTGCAAGATAATGAAAATAATTGTCTTATTATTAAAACAATGGATTCAAACGCATGACTGTGAGTGCGTGCCAACTTCTAGTACAAAAGACAAAAACCCCAGTACATTGTACTGTAAAATGAATAAATTTTACTGGTGAAGAAACTTTTTATTTGGCTGAAAAATACAGGTTTTGAATAATTTTGTTGCTTTTAGAAGGTGATACGTAATCAGTTTTCAATAAGATTTTAAATTTATTTTATGATTTTATAATTTGTTTTGGTGTATAATTTTAATTGTGTTTTAGAACAATTGAATTAATTGACACTATGATGTGAGTGTTAATTAAAATTTCTAGTGGTTTGAAGTGTGTATTATTTATTGTATGTTATAATTGTTTTATTATACTTGTATGTTCCATCTTAATACAAGACATAACTTTCACTGGTAGGGGAAGAAGTCCTTTTATATTAGAGTAAAGGAAAGTAATGCAGTCTGAATGTTTTTGCAAAAGGGGAAGAATAAATTTGATGTAAATTGAATTTTAGGGGACAATTGCATGATTTTAAACAGGTGGATAGGCCCTATAGAATTAAAAACAAAACAAAAGGCCTTTGATATAACATGAAAATGCATGATCAGTAGTAATAAATTGAAGCATACCCATGCCCGAAAAGATGATAAAAGACTGTCAAATGATATCTATCTAGAGGAATTAGTTCAAATCTATTATGAAGAGCAATAAAACTTGTTTTCATACTCACAATTTAGCATAATTCATTTCATAAGTTATCTTATTAGTTTAATAGTTACCCTTGATTTCTAGCTGACATAAATTTATTATAGTAATACCAGTTTATACCTTTATACTATAATTGATTATCTTTGTAATTTATATATTAGTGGCATTAAAGCGGCATGCCTGTAGATGTTATGAAAACTTAAAAATTGTTCTAATGAGTTACATATGTTGCCAAGTTTACAAATTGAGCAATTTAATCTAGTTAAAGACACTTGCCTTCCACAGAAATACATTTAATTTATCAAAAAATAGGTAGAAACAAACACATTGTAAAGACACAGTAAATGAAAGCATAACACTATAGGTGGCCGATGTTGTACTTTAAACAGTCTTTATTTTGGGTATATGATAAATAAAATATTAAATTTGTGTTGGTTCATTACTGAATTTATTGAACTTGTTGAATTTATTCAGTATTGAGCATACATTCATTCAATATGCTCTAGTTATCTTGTACGTGCTATTTTTCAGAAAATTGAATAGTTTTAGATCAGAATAGACAGAATTGTCCAAGCTGGGATTATCTTAAACCTTTATTGGACTAGGAATGTGATGCTATTAGCACAATTAGTGCATTTCATGAAGACAAAAACTTTTAGTATTTGTTTTTCACTGTCCTTATCAACAGCAAAATAACCAGGTTATTATGTACTTTAGACCAGTGCTTTGAAATATTGCAAAGAATGTATTTAAGGACTAGGGCTGTAAGTGTTATATATGGTGTACCGATATATTGTGGTACAGAGTTCACATTCATTTGTATGGGTTTTTTAAGAAGTATAATTTGGTTTTCTTGATAAATTAGTGCTGATGTAAATATGAAAAGGGCAAACCATATGTGATAAAACTGTGTAATGATAAGAATTAAACAGTGTTTGTGTAAAAAATACGCCTGAATAAACATATCAAAACATTTTGATGAAGTATTCCAAGTACGATGGGTGGCAGGGTGGCATTTGTTTTTTTATAATAAATGGAAAAAGGAGTTCCATGAAAAAATAAAAAAGTAGATAAATGTGGCATTAGGAACTTAAAAATGCACTTGGATCAGCATCACAGATTGTCCCGAGTAATAGGCTGTTTGATTCAACATATAAAGTATTACAAGCTGTTACGGCATCTCAGATTTTGAACTACACTGACACAATCATCAGTGCCAAGTACACTGTAACCTCTTTGTAACGCTCATGTTGTGGTCAAGGGTCTCAAAACTGCGTTATAATCATTAATATCGGCAATAACGATCATTGCGAAATTACTGATTACCCCACCCACTGCCAATACATATAATGCTGGTGATTTTTACTTACCATTCATTAAATATCAAAAAAAAATTCTAAAACATTTTAACAATCAGTAAACATGTATTATTTTGTCAAATATTACTAATTTTATTTAAAAGAAACAGAAAACTTTCAAAAAAAATATATATAGCCAGAATAGGCAACAGTACAAACAAAATTTAGAAAGGTTAAGGATGATCACTTCAAAAATCACATAAATTCATTTCCAAGTGACCCATTATTAATAGCAATACCGGTTGCAAATTATATTGCAAAACTGATGTGGTATGTATTGCAATATGCTTTTTGCTGTATTGTAACAGCCCTGTTAAGGACATAAATGAGCTGCATCACGACAAAACCAACATAGTGCGTTTGCGAACAGCATGGATCCAGACCAGCATGCAGTCCGCGCAGTCTGATCAAGATCCATGCTGTTCGCTTACCAAGTCTATTACAAGTAGAGAAACTGATAGCGAACAGCATAGATCCTGATCATACTGCGCAGATGCGCAGGCTGGTCTGGATCCATGCTGGTCCCACCGCACTATGTTGGTTTTGTCATGACACGGCTCAAATCATTTGTCCCTCAATTGTGTGAGTTTGAGTCCCCTCTGGCACCATCTGTCATATGAGAAAGTCATCTAGCTAGCTACTGGTCCTTTTTCCAACATTTTGAGAATGCCACCAACATGGTTGGAATTGGAAAATGATTGTCATATTATAAGTCTATAGTGGAAATTTAAGAGTTACTTATAGGAACTATTATAATACTGTACATTTGTAACGTCACTTTTCATTGGATAATCATGACGTTTATATAGTTTTATATACATGGCTGCTGTCGATTCATGAAGAAATCGTACATTTTTCTCTAAAAAAATGATGCGTGCTGTATTATAAATTCGTTATAAAGATTGTTTACAGGTTATATGGCCGTATATAAATGGCTGTTTGCAATATAACCCTTGCCAAGCGGCTAGGGTTATATTTACAAATAGCCGTTATAACCTGTCAACAATCTTTCTAACTAATATAGACATATAATGAATAAGACAATGGCTTCGACATAAAATGAATAAGACAATGGCTTCAAGTTAAAGCTTTTTGTATTCAAATTTTCTTGTAATTTTAAGGGAGTCACTTCAGAACAAAAAAGGGAATTTTATGCTTGTCAATTGGGAAAAACATAATTACTTGGTATATTTTGGCATTAGAAATGCCTCGGATTACCGTTAGTAACTGTATAAGAAGAAAAGGTGTGAGGTAGATTATTGAAGGCTGGTGATTCTACTGAAGTGTCAGAAATCATGTACATAAAGTCATCTATAAACTCAGTCTAAGTTCAACTCGGAAGTTACAAGTGTTATAATTGATTTCCCATATAAAATTAAAAAGTGTGAAACTAGAATTATATGCGATTCACAGCGGATGTATCATTTAGTAATCAGTGTGGTGTTTTCAAAATCCACTCTGAATTATAGTAGTGTTGAAATGATTGCTAGTATTTATTTGAAATTTATTAAAGAACCAAACATTTACTAATGTAAGAGTAAAAGTTTCTAATTCTTTTTTCCAGTAAAAAAATGCATTAAATTTAAAATGGTCATAACATTATAATGAGTGGCGCTTAATTTAACCATCTATTATTAGAGACCAATCATTAATGGCTTTACAGTAAATAGAGTACTAGCCGACCAATCAAAGACAATGTTCCATGAAACTTACATCATGTATAAATTAGATTCAGACAGCATTCTTTCTTTCAAAAATTATACAAGGTTGAGTCTACACTAAGTCGTGCACATGAGCATAATTTGCATTTACCTAATTTAAAATTTAGTCAAATGCTGAAAATAGGAAAACAACTGTTACAGTACTTCTGCACTTTCTGTCCGCTTATTAAGGACATATTTGCAGGAAGTAAAAAAGAAAACAACAGTACTTCTGCACTTTCTGTCCGCTTATGAAGGACTTATTTGCAGGAAGTAAAAAAGAAAACAACAGTACTTCTGCACTTTCTGTCCGCTTATTAAGGACATATTTGCAGGAAGTAAAAAGAAAACAACAGTACTTCTGCACTTTCTGTCCGATTATTAAGGACTCATTTGCAGGAAGTAAAAAGAAAACAACAGTACTTCTGCACTTTCTGTCAGCTTATGAAGGACTTATTTGCAGGAAGTAAAAAGAAAACAACAGTACTTCTGCACTTTCTGTCTGCTTATGAAGGACTTATTTGCAGGAAGTAAAAAGAAAACAACAGTACTTCTGCACTTTCTGTCCGCTTATGAAGGACTTATTTGCAGGAAGTAAAAAAGAAAACAACAGTACTTCTGCACTTTCTGTCAGCTTATGAAGGACTTATTTGCAGGAAGTAAAAAAGAAAACAACAGTACTTCTGCACTTTCTGTCAGCTTATGAAGGACTTATTTGCAGGAAGTAAAAAAGAAAACAACAGTACTTCTGCACTTTCTGTCCACTTATTAAGAACTCATTTGCAGGAAGTAAAAAAGAAAACAACAGTACTTCTGCACATTTTGTCCGCTTATTAAGGACTTATTTGCAGGAAGTAAAAAAGAAAACAACAGTACTTCTGCACTTTCTGTCTGCTTATTAAGAACTCATTTGCAGGAAGTAAAAAAGAAAACAACAGTACTTCTGCACTTTTTGTCCGCTTATTAAGAACTCATTTGCAGGAAGTAAAAAAGAAAACAACAGTACTTCTGCACTTTTTGTCCGCTTATTAAGGACTTATTTGCAGGAAGTAAAAAAGAAAACAACAGTACTTCTGCACTTTCTGTCCGCTTATTAAGGACTTATTTGCAGGAAGTAAAAAAGAAAACAACAGTACTTCTGCACTTTTTGTCCGATTATTAAGGACTTATTTGCAGGAAGTAAAAAAGAAAACAACAGTACTTCTGCACTTTCTGTCCGCTTATTAAGGACTTATTTGCAGGAAGTAAAAAGAAAAACAACAGTAACTTCTGCACTTTCTGTCTGCTTATTAAGAACTCATTTGCAGGAAGTAAAAAAAGAAAACAACAGTACTTCTGCACTTTCTGTCCGCTTATTAAGGACTCATTTGCAGGAAGTAAAAAAGAAAACAACAGTACTTCTGCACTTTCTGTCCGCTTATTAAGGACTAATTTGCAGGAAGTAAAAAAGAAAACAACAGTACTTCTGCACTTTCTGTCCGCTTATTAAGAACTTATTTGCAGGAAGTAAAAAAGAAAACAACAGTACTTCTGCACTTTTTGTCCGCTTATAAAGGACTTATTTGCAGGTAGTAAAAAAGAAAACAACAGTACTTCTGCACTTTCTGTCCGCTTATTAAGGACTTATTTGCAGGAAGTAAAAAAGAAAACAACAGTACTTCTGCACTTTCTGTCTGCTTATTAAGAACTCATTTGCAGGAAGTAAAAAAGAAAACAACAGTACTTCTGCACTTTCTGTCCGCTTATTAAGGACTTATTTGCAGGAAGTAAAAAAGAAAACAACAGTACTTCTGCACTTTCTGTCCGCTTATTAAGGACTTATTTGCAGGAAGTAAAAAAGAAAACAACAGTACTACTGCACTTTTTGTCCGATTATTAAGGACTTATTTGCAGGAAGTAAAAAAGAAAACAACAGTACTTCTGCACTTTCTTATTAAGAACTCATTTGCAGGAAGTAGGAAATAGGACAGCTAAGTAAATCTACAAGATGAAGAATTTTAATTTGGTCATATAATAAAACAGTAATAGTACGAAAATTTTGGTGAAAATCCAAGTGTATATGTTCAAAAATTTCACAAGAAAATTGCCTCTTAATGTATATATGTGGCATGAAATTTCTTCAAAGTAATAGAATGTTGAATATGTATATTGGTATATCATTCCATATTATAGGACAAAAGTAATCATGATTTTCTAAAGAACTCATTGGTTGGTTAAGGTATAACTTGAGCCGCGTCACGACAGAACCAGCATAGTGCGTTTGCTACCAGCATGGATCCAGAACAGCCTGCGCATCCGCGCAGTCTGATCAGGATCCATGCTGTTCGCTTACCAGCCCTTTACAAGTAGAGAAAATAATAGCGAACAGCATGGATCCTGATCAGACTGCGCAGAGGCGCAGGCTGGTCTGGATCCATGCTGGTCGCAAACGCACTATGTTGGTTTTGTCATGACGTGGCTCATTTCTACTTTTGAATAGATCTTTAGTTAAAGTTGTGTTTGTCATTTACCATTTCAAATTTAGTTTTCATATAATGGGGAAAAATGGATCATTTATAGATTTATACCTGAGAATAGTCTTTTTATACATTATTCTTTTGTCAATGGACATCCAATTTAGCTCTTTAAATAGTTTCATTTGATGGGGGATCAAAATTTTTATCCAAAATTATTTTTTGAAATTTGATATTTTGAGAAAGTAATTCTCTACATATAGTGCAACAGTTGTTTAAATTAGGCAGAATTTTGTATTTTTAATTGAAAGAAATATACCATTAAGAACACTACACAAAAATGGACTATTATGTGCACAGGAAATTCACATTCAATGATGCAAGAAAAAACCTTGTTAGTCTTGCATTTCCGTCCTTCAAAGTTTATACAACATGGTATACATTTTAGCATATACGATAAAGTAACATGTTGGCCAATCAAAACTTGAGAAATTTATTTGCATTTTTATGAAATACATGTATATAAATATACAAATGTTTTCAATTTCAGACTGTGAAGATTTAATTAAACAAATGTTGACAGTAGACTGTAAAAAACGTATAACTATGGAACAAATAATAAATCATAGATGGATGCAGTTAGGTGACGATGACACTGAATTCGTACAAATGATACGCGAGTTTAATACACATTGTGATTTAGAATCAGAGACTGACGACGATCTTAATGAAGCTGTGTTAGAACAAATGGTGAATATTCATAGATTGGATAGGGAGAAAACATTAGAAGTAAGTAAATAGAGTTAATGAACACTTTCTTTATCATTGCCAGGGCTCACGCTGTCGGTCGCCATAGTCGCCATTTGCGATTATTTTATAAGATTGGCGATTATTTTAGCATTTTGGCTACAAAATCTGGCGATTATTTTTTACTTCCAACAGTGTTTATATAAGGTGTAAAAATCGATAATGAATGCAGTAGACCCAATTAACACCAGCGGGGTGCCAACTTTTTACCGGTCACGCGCTGCTAACTATATTGCCCGAGGTGATAAAATACATGAGAGATGTATAATTGTATAAGTACTTTAAAGATATTGTCCAGCATTTATAATAGCCATCTAATATCCGTCAATTAGCCACAAAAATCGTTTTAAAATTGATAAACTGGATATTGACTTACCCAAAATTTACCGTGAATTGCAGTAATTGCAAATTTTGATTTTTGTTTTGTTTTAAGCTACTTGACTAAATCGCCAGTGGAAAGCAATGGTAAAATATTTAAAAAAAGTATTAACTTCCCAACAACTATTTGCACAACAACCAAAATTGTGAATATTTCTTCAGAAAACAGGAAAAATCCGATTGTCACATATTTTCGCGACACCGATAATTTTGATATTTATTTAAAGGTGAAATAAGCTATGTTCTGTTTAAAAATCTTTACTACTATGGCAGAAAATTTGTATTACATTGGTGATGATGATATTTTTCAATAAATTATTCAGAAAAAAGGCTGCATTCTGTTAATGAGTTTGCAAACTTGTGTTATTTCTATAGGCTTATATGACCTAGATCTACTCTAGTTCTGTGTGAAATGTGGAAATTGACAGTGGTTATAGCTGACAAAATTTGATAAGAACAAACAAAAAAAGTTGTCTGATAACAGCATTATGTAAAGTTATAATGAATCTTTAACATTATTGTTATACAGTAATTATACTTATGATAACGTTTTTATTCTGTTCTATAATAACCATTAAAGCGGTGGTTCTATTTAAAAAAGGTAGTTATCAATATACACAAATGTATCGGTTTATTTGAGAATCCTTATAAAACTGAAAGTTGTATATAAATGTAATGTTTATTTAATCAACTGCTTATGTCACTAATTCGTGAAAAGTCCGCTGAACTTTTGGCTATTATTTTTTTAAGTTGAAAATATTGGCTATTATTTTATTTGAGCCAGTGTGAGCCCTGATTGCCATTAGTGCTGTAAAGAATTCTAACTCTGTATAAATTTGATAGGAGTTAAAACGTTACTGCACTAAAGTGATGCTACTTGATTCATCTTTAAAATGGAGAGATTTGCCCTGGGTACAGAACCAGTGCAACACATTTAAAATGATATACCTTAAATTATATATGAAAGCCTTGAATATATATAAATAACCTTGTATTGTGGATACATGTAAAATTAATTCTGATGTCAAAAAGAGAGATTTGTATTATTGCATAGCAGACTGGCGTTTCCGTGAGTTTTACCCATGCCAGAAATTTCATCTGGCATGGGGGGTGCCAGATGAGTCGCGTGCCAAACAACAACGTCATTTTAGCGCACTTTATGAATGAACCGCGTTAAAATGACGTCGTTTTAGAAGGGAAATATGTGCTTAGGATGACGTCATTTCGCCGTTGTTATTTAAGTTGTAAGTTCATACGCTATTGTAAGAAAATAGTTATGGATGAAATGACTTTAATTTCCATGAACATATATCATATTGATGTAAACCATTTTAGATATGAAATAATATGGCAGAATATGCAAGAAAAAATATCTAACATATGTTTGCGGTTCGGACCGGAATATCCGTCCCTCGGGAACCCGCCCATGGGCGGTAACTCGGCAAGCCTCGTTACCGCCCAATGGGCGGGTCCCCTCGGGACGGATATTCCGGTCCGAACCGCAACAAATGACAGATATTATTAATCCAGGAGTTGCGGGTTTGATCCTTAGGGTGAAATTTCTCCATGACAAGTATCTTGGACATTGAGTTTAATGGTTATTTGTCTCAATGTGGGATAAGTTCAAGGTCACTTGTGGTGATGATGCAAGTAATTACTGTTTAGTTATTGAGGAAATGTGGTTAGGTTGACTGACTGGAGAGATGTTATCAAAAAATGTATTAAAAGTATGTGTTGTAACCAATCAACCTTCTTTGTTTGATATAAATAAATTATAAAGGCACCAGCTGGTTTGATGTAACATTGTATCTATATAATCAGTTTACTCAAATTATTCTATTATTTTTATATTTCAGTCTGTAAAAAATTCTGCTTACGACCATCATAGTGCTATATATCATCTCATGTTGGATAAAATTAAAAAGCATCCAAAGACTTTGTTGAACAAAATCCATCCAGATCTGCTTGCAGCTTCACAAAACTTGCCAATGGCGACACGAACGGAAAGACGTTCTAGTATTACAACGGGAGTTGGTATGTAGCTTTGCCTGTGTTGTTATATGACATAAGTGCTCTTTTAAACCATTGCATGCTGGGAAAATTACCGTCTGCTGAAAAATGGTGTCTCCTACAAATGAATTTTATTGACATTAAAAAACATAAAAGGTTGGTACCTGATAAGTTCATGAGGTACTTACTGCACACTCTGGTCTTAAGGCATTTGGGTTAGGTGAAGTGCAAATAAAACATTTTAATATACTTGTAACTATATATAGAAACAAAATTACCCATGATCCCAACTGATTGAGTGTCACATGACTGATTATGAGCTTGTGGACCTGAGCAGAAGCAGGGTTGGGGGTAGGGGGTCTGACACGGAGAATGTAGAAAGTTTAAACGTCTGATTGGCTAGATTTTTATAATGGAAAAGTTCAAGTTATATCAACATTTGTTTATTGTAAGGAATATATATGTAATTATAAAGCATAAACATAAGATACATATGTATGATATATGGTTAGTAAAATTAATTTTTTTTATGTATATTGTCATTGCCCGAAGAGTCAGATCTATATTCTATGTGAAGAAGATTTTAATGAACTAAACTATTCTGTTTTTCCATAAGACAAGAAATATGTAATACACAATTTGATAATAAGGCAGAACAATGTTATTACTGATATAAAATTTACAATATTTGAACTTGTGACTTTTTCCATGGATATAGTACGAGGAGTCATGAGGTTGTTTCGTTTACGATGAAAATGTGTAAAAATTCCGGGAGAGTAGTACATGTTTATTGTCAAATCAATACTGTACCATCCAATTATTAGCACAATTTGGTCGTAATGTTGATTTTTAGGTAACAACTTTCTTAAACTTGATAATTGTAGATCTATACCTACATGGACAGTCACAGTAACATTGATCAAGGCAAATAGTGATTCCAAATTTATATTGCAGTGATAATCGTGATATGAAATGCTGCTTGATACACGGCTGATTCATATGTATAACAGTGACCCTGAAAAGGCCTTAATCTCCTTTACTCTCTGTAATCACACATCATAACTGTAGTGGTCAAGCTATGAGTGAATAAGTCAGGAAAAAGACCTTGAAATAAGGAAGATGGCCCTTAAATTACACAGGGGGAGTCACAGTGTTTTATTATTACACATGTTCATGATATCAAATATTCAATAAAAAGTAATGTAAATGCTAATGAAACAAAAATTAATTATTCAATCGTTAAAGTGTAAAAAGACATTCATAAATACTCAGATTATTATATTGTTAACCGTTAATCTGCATGAACCAAAAAATGATAAGCTTTTGCCTGCCTTTGCCACTAGTTTTAAACCAGGCCAGCCTGCACATAATTTATGAAATCCCTTTAACTTTGAATGGACTGTTCCAAATTCAAAGCTGGTCAAATCTATTTTATATATTCAGCTGGTGGAGGGTTAATAAGGCCTTTATTTTCAAATTGAAATTCTGATATGAAAAACAGATATTTCAAAATTTGAAGCATAGGCATTTTAAGACTATGACTTAAATTCTGATAAATCAAAAGTTCAAATCAGCAGTGCTTTGCAAATCAGTTGCAATTATCATAGATGTTCTGTGTGGTAGATACAACATTATTGATAATGATTTGTTAGTTGTTCTGTGAAATATAATTCTTAAAGGTCAAAGCAGTTAGGTTATCAATTGTATTTTCACATGTACAACACTTTAAATGAGACCTTTAAATCACTGTTAGGCTTTCATAAGAAATTTGAAAAACATTACAATAAGTTTTTAGAAAGATTCTAAAGAAATGGTTTTATAAGATAAAATATACAGTTACATTTTTATTCACTTTATTTGAACTTTGTTTAGTCATTGATTTTCAATTCTGTTAATGTGTTTTGCAAATGTTACAAAAAATTGAAAGGTCATGTTCTTTAACAATGTAAAGAATGTACTGCATTTATAATTATTTACTGACTTGACATTCTGATACATGTAAATGGCAATATTAACTTACCAATTGATATCATCAATACAAGGTCAGGGCCATTGTTTTACTCTGTCTTCTTGTAATTGAAATAAAATGAGCCGCGTCACGACAAAACCAACATAATGGGTTTGCGACCAGCATGGATCCAGACCAGCCTGCGCATCCGCGCAGTCTGATCAGGATCCATGCTGTTCGCTTACAAACCCTATAACAAGTAGAGAAAACTGATAGTGAACAGCATGGATCCTGATCAGACTGTGCCGATGTGCAGGCTGGTCTAGATCCATGCTGGTCGCATACGCATTATGTTGGTTTTGTTGTGACGCTGCTCAAATAATGCTTACAGATCTCTAGTACAGCTGGAAAAAATGCTATATGTGACCTTACCACTACAAGTGTTGTTGTCACTAACCACCTTTCTCCTCTCCAGCCCCTCGCCCCTCCACCCAAGACACTAAAACACTAAAAAAATAATCAAGACAAAAAGAAGGAATTAAAAGAACCAATTGGAAATTTCTATATTAAAGTAAGCAAAAGTCTATTGAACATTTTCAAATTCAACAATAAAACATGGTAAGGGTTATAAGTATAGTGCAACCTCTAATTGACATTTTGTATGCTTGACCTATTAGCTATCTAACATAAAAGGCAGATTATGTCTCAGAGATAAATGACAAACATGAGTATTACAGCAATTAAATAATGGTTTTAGAGCATGTTGGATGCTTATCACATGAAGAAAATAGTGCGGAATGTGAAATTATTTGTTATTAAAAAGTAGCAAAATGTGAAGAAAGTAGAAAGTTTTGACTTCATTCAAAATACTAAATCACTATAAGTGTACTGATTGCCAAAAAGCAACAAAAACAAAATATGGTTCATACAATTGGACAGGGAGTAACGTTTTGGAAACTATGATATAAGACACAAAAAATAAAAAGCTTTCAAGAAGTAAAAATTAAAGCTGTCTGAGGCATAATGGGCCTTTAAGGAATTGATCATGTGGAGGATTTGATCCCACGTTGTTTACAAGCCAGTGTTTGGCAGTCGCCATCAGTCTTTTGATGAAGTACCACCGATGATTCGTTCAATTGTTTCATGTCTAATATAATGTTTTTTTCTATCTATTGTAGTGGAGAGAGTGGAGGTACCGGTAGAAGAGGTTGGACCAAGCACAACACCACCTTTATTGAGGACACCGCATGTTCCACAGATGCAGTTTTATAATGAAAATAATCATGTAAGAATATTTCTAGTTTCATAAATGTGAACAGCAGGCAGGTGCTAGACATGTAAATTGATGTAAATTTGTATTGTAACTGACTTGGCAGTGATAATTCGAATTTTTTGGTTGAGTCTTTGATTAGTGAGTGAGAGATATTCAGTTTTGTGGTATACAATCACTTTTTTGAAAGTTTTTTTTCTCGAATATATATAAGTTTATGAATGACTTTTCAACATTTATTTACTGTAAGATTGACTTTTTAGTTTGACTGTTTGGGGAGCTGTCCTACTCACCCAGGCATCAACACTGTGTGTGCTTTAAAATATGTTTTACTGTAACTTCTTTATTTTTTAAGGAATTGACTTCAAATTTCAAAAACATATCTTAATGTGGATCTCATAAGTGATCCGGTTCATAACGCTTACACCCATATTTAAAGATTTATCTCCTCTTTAATTTGAAAATTGTTCAATTTTACTAGTACTTACCTACTTCTAAAATGATTTACTTTAAACTTTATTTTCAATATCATTACCAACATTACATGTTATTTAGTAAATGCAGCTCCAATATTTAGATTAATTCATCCTCTTAACTGAGAATTTTCCTTTTAACTATATCTTTATTTCTGAGGGATTTACTTCAAAGTTAAAATGCAAAGTTAAAATGTGCATTCTGTATCGCACTAACCATTTTGGCAGGAAGAGATATATACATTTATAATTGTACATCTTTATAAAAAGTACAAAAGAAGGAGTATTTTATTTGGCGAGTTTTAACCCTAAATTGCCATGAAGTCAGATTGGCACTATATGTAAAATGCCTTGAAAAGGTTACCACTGATTGTAAATTATTGTAAAGACTTATTTATACACGTTTATATGTTGTGATTTCCCTATTGTTACAAATAGTTCATATAAGAAGCAATTTATTTATCTTGTGATTTCTGAACTAATTGTAAAATCAGTTAAAATTATGTACATGAATTTGTCAAGATTAATAAAGAGCTTAAAAGACACCTCGAACGGGATTTATTGACTTAATTGAGTGATTAACCCAAGCATTGTCATCTCATAATATTCATTTAATATTTAATGCTTTAAAAATATGAATTTATTTAAACCTATGGGACATATAAAATTTGTAGGCCTGTTTCTTTCGAAAGAAACAAAACTGAGGAAAAGTATAACTTTAAAAAATGTGTTGTAGAATGGTCTATATAATCGCTGAAGGTCATTACTGAAATTTCTTTGTTTAAATGTAATATGCATTGTACAATAATTCTGTACATCATTCTGAAAGTATTCTGGTTGTATGCCCCTTTTTAGATAAGTAGGAATGATATCAAAACTGCCATAGGTATTGAGATAAAACTTCACTCCTTGTGTACCTATTAATGTGAACACTGCACATCTGTTGGACATGTGGCAAAACAAAGTGATTTGTAATTCTAGAGTTATGTCCCTTTTAAAAAGGAAAATAATTAAAGTTTTGTATAAAAATCAATACTTTAAACATTTTTGCAATAATATAATTACAAAGTAATTTGTCTGACTGAGAAGTAATGTGTATACCAACCATAACACCATTTCACTCTTGAATTTAATATGATTTCAGAGGAGTGTAGGTACCTCATGTAGTGCTCTTGTTCATGATTTCAGGTTGATAAATAGAGGATATTGAATGATTGTAGGTTCAATACGGATTTTATTGAACAAGTTGAATGAAATCATATTATGAGAGCCAAATATGATTTTATTCAACAAGCTCTATAAATTTAGTAATGATCCTTCACAAATATCATATTCTATTTATCACATACCAAAAATCAAGACTGTTTAAAGTGCTTAATAATCATTGTTCATTAAAGTGCCTATAGTGTAATGCTAACATTTTGCTTGTCTGTAAACTATGTTTGTATAAAGCAAATGACATCATGCCAAAATATATGCACATCTGTGCAAATACCATTTTTACAGAATCACAAAATCGGCATGGGTGTGTGATTTATGTAAATACGTTTATCTATTTCCAAAATATGTTTATCTATTTTCTTAATATGTGTATCTATTTCCAAAATATGTTTATCTATTTTCTTAATATGTGTATCTATTTCCAAAATATGTTTATCTATTTTCTTAATATGTTTATCTATTTCCTAAATATGTTTATATATTTTCTAAAAACATTTATCTATTTTTTAAAAACATTTATCTATTTCATAAATATGTTTATCTATTTTCTAAATATGTGTATCTATTTCCTAAATATGTTTATCTATTATCTTAATATGTTTATCTATTTCCTAAATATGTTTATCTATTTTCTAAATACGTTTATCTATTTTCTAAAAACAGTTATCTATTTCATAAATATGTTTATCTATTTTCTAAATATGTTTATCTATTTCCTAAATATGTTTATCTATTATCTTAATATGTTTATCTATTTCCTAAATATGTTTATCTATTTTCTAAATACGTTTATCTATTTTCTAAAAACAGTTATCTATTTCATAAATATGTTTATCTATTTTCTAAATATGTATCTATTTTCTAAATATGTTTATCTATTGTAGTTGGAAGACACAAACTACTCAGACTCTGATGAAGAGCCCTCACCAGAAGCTTTAGCTCGGTATCTTGCCATGCGAAGACACACTGTTGGCGTGGGTGACAGTCGACATGAAGTTCCTGATGATTTACGAATGAAATTAGGGCAACATCAGCAACTGTTTGCCATGCCTCAGCCCAACTGCTTTATGCCATTTGGGTTCAATCCTCTAGGAGGCATCTCTCCTTACAATAACTTGCCAATGGGTGCTTTCCCACCCCTTATGACTCAACATCAGTACAATGTGCCAATGGGCGATCAGCAATATTTACAGTTACCTCCAATGATGGGAGCAGGTAGTGTAAAAAAAATATTAAATTATCAATTTGCCAGTAGTTAATGGCCATTTGTAAAGCAAGACTTTGCTACACTATTTTATTTATATATTTATTGATAGTCATCTTATGAGAGCTAGAAAAAGCATACGAAAGAATCTGTGCTTTACTAAGTGAGCAACAAATATGACTGGCATGTTATCTTCTACATCATTCAAACTCTTCATTTGGTCAGTCAGCCAGGTAAAATAGATTCTCAAAAGTGAAACTTATTTTATCCGTTCCTCAAAATTATATTTGTAAATGTGCTGGATGTTATTTTGCAACCATTCAACCTCTAGAGATATGTTAAGTTTGATAAATTTCAATGAAGATGTTCCCTGATCATTGTGATAAATAGATCTGCTCAGGATCTGTTAATATGTCAAAATTCAGGGTTTTTTTTTTAGAAATGGATGTAAAAAATTAACAAGTCTAACAGATACTTGGTATAATAAATCTGTAAGGGGTATCACGCACAAATTTCGAGAAACTTTTTGTCCATGATGAGTGTCATCCGTGGGGTCTCACTGGTTTTGCAAATTCGCGCTGAGCACATTAACTGTAATAAATTTGTAAGGCTGTATGTCATTCTTTATTTAACATTGATATATTTACTATTGATATATGTTATATTCCTTTCAAAAGGTGGAGGTGCGAACTTAAATCGACGAGCATCAGATGGCGGGGCTAATATCCATAGGTTTTGTCGACAGATGATGCCTGGAAATAGTCAAGCTGGCAGCATGGAAACATTGACGGTAAAGATATAATATAAATATATTTCATTTATATACAGCTCTTGTAGCAGGTTTAGAGCAGCTGAATGATGTGGATGAAAGTATATTTCCTGGAATTAACTGTATCTAGTGCCGTGTCTGTCTTATAGGGAAGACAACATGAAATATTCAAGGTCATTCCATTCAGAGACTTGAGTTATTCTAAAGCCCCTGATTGGCCACGAGAAAAAACACCTTGTTTTTATCTTATGATATGTCTTGATGAGGCTCCTGCTGTCATGCTTTCAATAGAAAACATGATTGTGCTCTGTTAACAGTTTTATTTTTGGAGTATGCTTGTCTATAATTTGTCTCTTTGCTAATTAGAACGACATTTTAAGTCATGAAATATTAAATTCAAAGCATAACAAGAAAAGGAGGAAAAATGAAAGACATTAAAGTATTTAAATGTAAAGAGGCAAACAGACAGGTTAAATGGGTACAATCTTACAAAAAAATAATTTAGAAATAGCTGTGAAAATCAATTAAAATGAAACAAAATGTGCAAATTGACATTTGAAATGAGATTTTTATAAGAAACAAACATTAAGATCCTCTTTGATACATATCTATGAGAGGGTACAAAAGTTACCATGTATCTAATACCATCAACAAGGCTTACATTTGTTTTATAGCACTTCTATAATGACAGCTATATAATATATGACACATGATACAAGCTACAAAGTTTGTTTCCTATTTATTATTCATCACAGTGCTTAACGTTAATTGTCACAGGAAACGATTAGGTGAAAAAAAAGCATGTTGAATAATGTAATTTTAATGAGCAGGTGACGAAAAGCTGTTATTTATTATTTATACTTCCTTAGTTAGCTGTAAAACATCAGTTAATTCAATTAGTAAATGACAATACATGGTGGTGACATGGGGGTGTGGGGAACAGGCATGACTGTTCAGGTTGAAGACTTTTTTTTAAGGTCTATTTATATATTGAAATAAACCTGTCCTCAGGGATAGCTTCCATTGTGCACCCTGCAACTGTTTTAGAATGGTAAACATGGAATATTAAAAAGATTCTATTTTGTAACTGAAATATATCATGTGTGAATTGTTTAGGATTATCATTGACATTTAGAATTATATAGAATTACAAGTTAACTTTGAATAATACAATTCCAATTCCAGTAATATTTCAAGTTTTCTATTCATAAACAATAAAATGTTTTTTAGCTTGACTATTTGAAAAATAGGAAGAGCTATTGTACACATCCAGGTATCATTGCGACACTTTAAGTTTTTGTGTGGTATCTCGAAAAATTACTGAAGGGAATGAATTGAAACTTCACACACTTTAGCTCGACTATTCGATAAGAATAAGTAGAGCTATTGCAGTCACCAGAGCGTCGGCGTCTGCGTCGGCGTAACCACTTATGTTAAAGTTTTTGTAATAGTTCAAATATTTTCAAAGTCCTTGGCCTATGGCTTTGAAACTTTGCACACTTGTTCACCATCATGACCCCAACCTGTAGACCAGGAGGAGGTTAACTCTATCAAGCATTTTGAAAGAATATATGCCCCTTTTTTCGAAACTTAGGAATTTATGTTAAAGTTTTTGTTAATAGTTTCAAATATTTTTCAAAGTCCATTGACATATGGCTTTGAAACTTTGCACACTTGTTCACCATTCATGACCCCAACCTGTAGACAGGAGGAGGTAACTCTATCAAGTATTTTGACAGAATTATGCCCCTTTTTCGACTTAGAATTTATGTTAAAGTTTTTGTAATAGTTCAAATATTTTCAAAGTCCATTGACATATGGCTTTGAAACGTTGCACACTTGTTCACCATCATGACCCCAACCTGTAGACAGGAGGAGGTAACTCTATCAAGTATTTTGACAGAATTATGCCCCTTTTTCGACTTAGAATTTATGTTAAAGTTTTTGTAATAGTTCAAATATTTTCAAAGTCCATTGACATATGGCTTTGAAACGTTGCACACTTGTTCACCATCATGACCCCAACCTGTAAGCAGGAGGGGGTAACTGTATCAACCATTTTTTTTTACTATCACGCACTAAGAATAGTCGAGCATGCTGTCCTACCGACAGCTCTTGTTTTAGAGTATAGAAGGAGGTCACTATCCAAGGTATATACCTCTAACAATGATTTTGACATAATTATGGCCTTTGTTTTTTAACATGTCAACAAGACTCTTGTTTTACTATCAAGCACTTAGAATAGCCCAGCATACTGTCTTACTTATTCCAAACTCTAGTTATCATTGGGAAAGTTCAACCATGAAGTCGAGGGACTGACCCGCCAAGTTTTAAGTTAGATTATCATAAAAGTACATTGGTATAAAGGTTATTATAATGATGATATATTGTAGGCACAAGGTGCTGGATTACCTCTTACTGTAGAGGAGAAAGAAGATGCTTCATCTGACCAGGAACCTGATCAAGATGCTGTACAAAGGTACATCCCTCACATTCAAATTATACTGTATACTGCCCTTTATCTGTTGGCCTGCTTAGCTCAATTAATGATATGTGAAAGCATTGGAATTTCAATCCAGGAGGACCTGGTTTGATCTTTGTGCTAGGTGAAATTTCTCCGTGACAATTATTCTGAGTTATGAGCAAAAATTTGACTAAATTGGCAAAAATAACCAAACAAACTAAAATGTTTTAAAAGTTCATGATTTGATTAAGTGGTAAAACCGTTCTGTAGTAAGTCAATCATGGAGATATTGGTCAGGTGGAGGGATAGCCAAGATATGACCAAAAATATGATAAATTGACATAAAAAACTAAGTAAATTGTAAATACCAAACACACATTACAAGTTTTAAAAACTTCATCATGGTATGATTAAATGGTTTTGATTTATTTTTTTCCATACATGTAGTTTATAAAATTGTTGTTTCACATTGATACCAATTGTTTCACAAAACAACTTGTACAAATAGAAGTTGATCACTCCTTGGAGTTTATTTCAGACAAAATATAAGGTTCTTTTTTTCCCCTCAATATTATTAATATAATGTTTGTTATTATAATTTGTAGATACCTTGCAAGTAGAGGAAGAGGTAAACGTCACACACTGGCAGTATCAGACCCTGTACATGAGGTTCCCCTTGACCTTAGTATGGGCCTTCTACAGCAGCCAATTAGAGCAACTAGGAGATCTTCGGAAAGGGGACTATGTAAAATACCCTTTTTCTTCTTGATTTAATTACCAATAAAACCTATGTTAAAATATGGGATATAATATAACTGGACAAACAACAGAAGAATGTGCAACCTTATCTTCTTGTCCAAACAGGTGCACATGGCGCCATTTTATCTTACTCGTCATTCTTAAAGGACATTTTTCAATGTGATGTAAACATTGTAAATCAGAGAATAATAAGTCAACTTTTAGAAGATTTTAACAGTCCTTTAGTATTTTAAATGGTCTTACATGATTTTATAGATTAATAAGTGTAATCTCTTATAACTACCACATTAATATATGATTTAAACACTAAGCTTATCATTTATTTGACTGTCAAGTATATTCCAGCATAAGACCAAAAATCAATTAACTATCAATTATACACCAACATAAGACCACTTACCCAGTCTGTAGTTGCTTGTCCTTTATATTATGTCCTTGGTTTGAAAAACCAATTATTAGATCAAATAAGAGCAATTGTTCTTTTTGATATAATGCTGCTTTAATGTCTTTCATTGAGGCTTAGTCTATGTTCACTACTGGATTTTAGTTACAGTTTAAGTCTAACAATTAACATTTTGATTAACAATGTACTAATTTTATTTTGAAATTATGATGTAATCTGTAATCATGTAATCTGTAATTTCCGCGTTCTATGAATGTAGTTACAGACTTCGTGTTGAGACATTACACTTCTTTTGTTCATAAATAAGATAAAATATTTAATTTAAACTAATGTTGAAATATACAAAATTCAAATTTAAATATGTATTGTTTTTCTTGCAGCCCCCTATTCCTACAAAGAGGAGAACATATTACATTTACCTAACGACAGGTTTTCACAGGTGCGACGGGCCAGTGATGGGTTACCTGGCAGTGCATTACACAAGCACCAGTTGACAAACCTGGAGAAAATATACAATCAGACTCTGATGAATCAGCAGTCAACCAGACCAAGTAGCCAAAATAGTCTTAAACAGTTGCAACAAGAATGCCATGAACTGCAGGTGGGTGAAGTAAATTTTCTGTCGTTTTTATTTTCTCTTCATAGACAAGTCTTCCTAGACCATCCTTTTGCCCATATTTTCATCTAAAATAATGAAATTATTGTTTACAACCTTGTGATTTCTTCCAAACTTCAAACTGCATTCTTTTGAATTGTGGTCACTGAAATGAACTGTGTTCTGAAAACATGTAGAAAACTAACACTTTACCAATTTGATCTTCCTGTGTATATTGGATACATATACATAATATATTTTTATATACATGCATTTTGAAAAAGGGCTGCATTTAGTGTTTTGAAATATTTATTGGCTTTAAATGTTTCATATTAACTCAAAATGGATACTTTTGTTATGTACCTATAAGGGTTATCCTTGGCTGGTATTTTCTGTAAGTGACTTGAGAAGGAACTTGGCAGGGACTTTGTCCATCCATATTGATTTTGAGGTCATTAGGTCAAAAGTCAAGGTCAAAGTCACAATATGGGTAAACCCCTTGTCTGGTCAATAGCTTAAGAAGTGATAAGCCTAAGTTTGTGAATCATAGTTGGAATACTGTTAAATTATATACGTGTATTACATTTATAACATTTTACCTTTATGAAATATACATATGTATATTGTCATGTACAGTGATTGGGGAATGTAGTGGGAGCATAAATGTCCAATGAATGCATTTCTATTTTTTTCATGCATTTGTTTGCATGTTTAATTAATTGCTTGTGTTTTGATTAATGTTGTGATAAATTGGTGTAACATGATGAGAAGCATGCTACAGCTGTTATAATATATCTATCATGCTTGTTGTGAATTGTTTTCTTATTACATCTACTCTGGGCTGCACACATCTGTATATATACTATTTTCATCTAAGAAGTATTGATAGCAACACAATTTGCTTATAGCACCATCTGCTGATAGTAACATCCATAGTTCCAATTACAAAATCATTTGGCCTGTTGTTTTCCATATTTCAGTCTAAAAAAAGAACTTGTTTCAGTTAGCGATACATTTTTATTTTGATTGTCAAATTGACAAAGTGTCAAGATTTTCTACCTTGCTGTGTATGCTTACATGGGACCCCACTTGTGAGTTGAATAAGGTATGCCGTTTAGGAAAGTTACCTACTGTGTCGGAAACAAAGGATCAATGATATCTGACGTTTCTTTTGTAAAGCCTTGAAAGTTGTCATATGACTTTTAAAAAAAAAGATCTGTCTCCCTATTTCTTTACCTTTGAAAAGTCACATGGGGAATGTGTGATCTAGTGGTTATGGAATTATAGAATTCAAACAACTTGCCCTCACCAATGTAGATTTAAATCCTACCTGGGACTTTGGATTCTTTTATGTGAGGAAGCTATCCAGCTAACCTACGGAATGTAGACGGTTCCTCTCAGGATTTCCCGTTCATGTCTGAAATAATGCATGGAGAGGAATCTTAGGTCTTCCTCTACCAATAAAGCTGGAAAGTCACCATATGACCTATACTGTGTTGTTGTGACGTAAAACCCAATGTAAAATAAATGTCACAATAATGCTTAAGCATATTTCAGTATGTAAAGAAGTGGTAATTTAGTGGAATCTGTTCTATGAAATATGGAAATGTTGATTGTTCTAGATGTCTGTATATATAGTAAATTATCTAAGATATCAACATATTGTATTAGTTTGCTTGTTGTACATGTATGGTTTTGTATGCTTTACTATATATAATAATACACAGGATTCTCTGCAACTCTTTATAAGACAGTATGTGGGCTAGTTTGACATAGAATCACATCATAATCCTCACCTTAGTGCAGTAACGGAATAAGTTCTTCTAAATTTAATAGGAGTTAATCAGTTATTGCACTAAGGTGGGGATATAAATGTTTACAAATTTACAGTATGTTATTAAATAGAGAAAAAAATTTGTGAATTTTAAATATATTGATAAAAGACTTTTGAATAGATTTATAATATACTTTAAGAAATTCTTAAGTTTTGATATAATTTTGTTTCTTTAGGCTGCCTATTAGAATTAACCCTGCTTTTCCACATTAGTATGTGTAGTTAGTATTTTGGGGTAATGCCTTTTAGGCCAATTTAGCTGATACATGTATATACTCGGCTCCCAACAGTTACTGTAAAAAGAATTGTTACACTAGAGCAATCAGTTTCATTTTTGTTACTCTGTTTCTACAGTATAGAGGTGTTGAAAATCCTGCATATATTTTTCTCTTCTGTTTATATAATGCATAGATATTTATTACAACTATAAAGGCTTTACAGTAATTATTAAAGAAGCTTTGCTATTATTATTTTATTACAGGAAAAGTTGTCCAAGTATAGTAGCACATTCATTCTTATAGAAAATAGATTATATCGGGACTTTTGCTGCATGCTTGCTTCTCACTTCAGTTTTGGGAATTTTTGAGCCTTTCTTTTAGAGGGTTCAATGTAATGATGTCATTAATGACTCGGTGAATTGTTAATTTGTCGAGTTATGATGACTAACTTATAAGAAAGTGGGCTGTTATAGTGCTTTGATAGTGTATTTTTGTGCTCAATTTTTGTGTAAAATATTCAAGGCCAACTAGACATATAAAATAAGGGATTATTTCCCCAACAAATTGGCTCATATACACTCATCAAAACACTGTGGCTGCCCATTTTTCATTTACATTGAATTCTCTATATACTGTTTATATTAGATGCATATATACCGTATTAGTGAATGAGATATTATAGAGAGAAAACATTTCTATATGCTACCATTTGTTTTTCCTTGCCAGTCCTTATATGCATGACATAAATGGTAGGATCTAAGATTGATATGGAAAGGCTTGATATTATTTCAGGCTATGATTTAACCAGACTACACATATTTCTATGGAATGATATAGATCTATCTTATCTTATGGTTCTAATTTTCAATCACATTAAATATACAGACGTATGCATTTAGGTAAAGACCTGTCTACTAAAATGGGAGGATATCTATATTCTGCTGAAAAGCCATGCTTGTGTAGCAATTATCTTTGACTTCATATTAGAGAGCTTATACGAATAACAGCAAGACTGTCATCAGTTTAGTGCATTGGTGATACTATACATTAGTTAAGTTCAACCAAAACATGTTACAGATAGTTGCTCAGTTTTTACTTTTCCTCAATTTTTATTTTTCAAAATATCAGAGTAGGGATAATATTTTTTCTATATAACCTTTTTCCTGTTCTTACTTCACTCACAGATACTTACAATTTCTTATAGTCCCTTCATTATTTACAGGTGAAGGTCATGGTTAAAATTTTGTTTAAATCTTTGTTAAATCAATTCCAGGCATAAGTTCATGAAACTTTGTTTTGACACTGTGCTTTGGTAGTATATGACCTTTGATCTTGAGGTTGTTAGGTCAAGGTCACAGTAACACTTGATATGAAATCCATTATCTACTTTCCTCAGTCATAGGTTTGTGAAACTTATGGATAAAAGGTCAAGTCAAAGTGAGGTTAATCCAACAATAAGATCATAACTTACACATTTAATATTTGACCTCTGAAATATGCAGAAGAGTGTAAATGTGCTGATGTGACAGGCAAATGAAGTTGGGTCATAAGTTTCCTATGAACAGATATTTGGTTAATGTTTTCTTCATAATTTGATATTTGACACTAAATCTTGTCTTTTGAGTTTTGACAGGGGCCTAATTTATATGCTATTTATGTTGTTAATTAAAATCCCTAGAATTTAAAATGAACTGTCCGTTATATGTGGCATTAGAAGTCCATAACTTTAATAAGTAAAAGGAGGGTTAGAATTGATGTTTTTTTTGATACCTTTTGATAAAGTTATAAAATAGAAATGACTTTGTTGTATCAGAAAATTTTATTTCTAATCTGGTTTCATAATACAAAATGTAAGCATAGTTTTTTATGGGAGCCAACTTAAATTGCAAGGGGGGTGCGGTGGCCAAGCGGATATGGTGTTGCCCCTCAACCCAGGGATCATGGGTTTATTCCAACACTTTGGTTACAGTCACATTGCCTCGTATGACACAAGTCCTGGGATGTTCCAGGAAGGGGACTGAAGGGTGGTTAAGATATGTTCAAAATTTCATTAAAATCAAGCTAAAGTAGGTTATGTTTAAAGTTTAAACTAACAAAGTATATATAATGGTAACTTGTTGATATCAAAGATTTTTTTAAACTCTTATCCAGCTGGCAGCAAGAGATTCTACTAGTGCAACCAGTTCAGACCAAGGCCAACCCGCACATCCCTGTCTTCTGATCATTGTCTGCACTGTTCTCTTTACAATCAGTATATATTAATGAAATTTTCCCTAAAGATGATGAATGGACAAGCCTATTTCAGATATTAAACATGGTAAAGGGTTAATGTGTTTATGGTCAAGTTTTCTATTATGTATGAGTATTTATCAGGAACTTGCTACTCTTGTAAATTAGCATGTCTATGCTGGGACCTTTTAAAATTACAAGAAACTAATTTCGCGCATAGAATGGATACAGTCTAATAAACAAAAAATTATGAAATTGCTCTGATTTTTAGAAATTAATCCAGATGACATGGCTAGAATGTAGAAAGTATATTATGTTTACTCAACTTATAATTATGCAATTGATATAATATATTATGCATTCTGTAATGTATTTAGATATTTACATGGCGTGCATGAAGTAGAGAACAAAATAAATGTAGTTGCATGACCACTGTTGACTGTTAAGATATTCTGTATTTATCTACTTTATTTTCAAATGAAACAATAAGAAATAATGGACATTCCATCTTAAATTTTATAAAACATTTAAGTGGTAAATGTTTCCAGCAAGAGACATTTTTCATTTACATACTAAAAATCTTTGTGTTGAGGTCCTGTGTCAAGAACTGTGTTTGGTAAAATCCTGTGATTTCTTTTGTTGAATGTTTGAAATATAAAAAAATGAGCCAACTTTTGATTCACTCAAACTTAAACTTCAGCAGCACTATGAATGAATTATTGGTA